GCGTTTCCTAACCTTAATTCCTTTCGAGCGCGCCTTTAAGCCCACACTTTCTTTTGAGTTTGTCCTTAAACCCTCACTTTTTTTTAATTGCGCCTTCAAGCCCTCAACCATTTAAAGGTAACGAATTTCCTCACACTAGCTCCTTTCGAGCGAGCCTTTGAGCCCTCGACCATCCTTTTGAGAGCGCCTTCAAGCCCTCATTTTCCTTTTTTTTTTCTTAGATAGGTCACCCATTACAATAAGACCCTTTTTTGGGCAGGTCACCCATTACAGTGAGACCATTTTCTTTGTTTTTCCTGGGTAGGTCACCGATTACAATAAGACCACTTGTTTTTCCTAGGTAGGTCACCGATTACAATAAGACCACTTCTTAAAATAAAAAAAAAAACCTATCTCTCTGTATTTTCATCATCAGGCAGGTCACCAGGAATAATTAAACCACTCGCGAAACACTTTTCGTGTTTTACTCTTCATCGAACAGGTCACCTGGAAAAATGAGACCACTCACGAAATCCTTCGCGTTGCTTCTTCCTATCGGGCTAGTCACCTAGAACAATTAAACCACTCGCGAAACCCTTTTCACGTTTTATTCTTCATCGGGCAGGTCACCTAGAAAAATGAGACCACTTGCGAAATCCTTTGGGTTGCTTCTTCCTATTAGGCTGGTCTTCTGAAACAATTAGACCACTCGTGAAACCCTTTTCGCATTTTATTCTTCATCGAGGAGGTCACTTGCAAAAATGAGACCACTCGTAAAATCCTTCGTATTGCTTTGTCCTATCAAGATAGTCGCCTAGAACAATTAGACCACTCACAAAACCCTTTTTGTGTTTTATTCTTCATCGGGCAAGTCACCTAGAAAAATGAGACCACTCGGGAAATCCTTAGTGTTGCTTCTTTATATTGGCCTGGTTGCCTGGAACAATTAGACCACTCACAAAACCCTTTTCATGTTTTGTTCTTCATCGGGCAAGTCACCTAGAAAAATGAGACCACTTACGAAATCCTTCGTGTTGCTTCTTCTTATCAGGTGGTCATCTAGAACAATTAGACCACTCGTGAAACCCTTTTTGCATTTTATTCTTCATTGAGGAGGTCACTTGCAAAAATAAGACCACTCGCAAAATCATTCGCATTGCTTTGTCCTATCAGGATAATCACCTAGAACAATTAGACCACTCACGAAACCCTTTTCGTGTTTTATTCTTCATCAGGCAGGTCACATAGAAAAATAAGACCACTCACAAAATCCTTGGCGTTGCTTCTTTCTATTAGGCTGGTTGCCTGGAATAATTAGACCACTCGCAAAACCTTGGTTGCCTGGAATAATTAGACCACTTGCGAAACCCTTTTCACACTTTATTCTTTATCAAGCAAGTCACTTGGAAAAAGAGACCATCTTTCTTAAAAAAAAAAAAAACAAAAAAATTCTCAATAAAAAAAAAGGGAAAGCAAAAGAGGAAGGGTTTTCACAATTATTCTTCTTTACAAAACTTACCATACAAAGTTAAAAAGAAAATATTTTTTCTAATGCCTTTGCACCGTCAACATTTTAACAAAGGGATAACTATTATAACTCAATTGTGGCCCATTGACTTTTTAATTTAATTTTACAAGGTTAATATGTAAAATTAAAAGATCAAAGATTTATTTCAATGAAAAGTGTGATTTTCCAACTTGCGTGAAAACTAGGAACTATAGTATACTTTTTTTATTCTATCCTTATCTTCAAGATAATCACTATCTTGAAGATAATTTTTTTCTTCAAGATAATGATAGTTATCCGCTTTTAAATTTGATTCTTAATCAAATTCAAACTTTGAAAAAGAGAATGAGTTTGATTGAAACTTTGCTTCTCACACGCGAAAGGATTCCAACACTATAAATACAGACCTTAGTGTATGTAAAAAAAAAAAAGGAGGGACAATTAGAGAGAAACTCTAAAAGAAGAGACTCTAAGAGGAGTCATTGCTAGAAACCCTAAAAGAGAGAAACATAAAAAAGAAAAAGGGGCGGCGAACCTTATACTAGCCACCGCCCCCCTCAACCCCTCTATTCTTTAGCCTAGTCTCCCTCGACTTTCCCTCCAGCAGCTGCACACCTAGGTAAGTTTTCTTCCTTTCTTTTTAAAATAATTAACTAGTCACTATTGCATGCATGCGTGAACCTTTCACTCATGGCTAAGCTAGGTCCAACCCAAAAAGAAAAAAAAGAGTTGGCCAGGTTTAGGTTTTAGGCCTAGTCGACCCAAACTATGTTTGCTAAGAGTATGTTTGGCAAAACACACCCTTATACCTTGGCTAGAATTTTTATGCCTGTTTTAGTTGGATATTTAGCTAGATGAGCCCTTTTTCGATATTAGAAAATTCCAAAAATATTTGAGAATCTTCATTGATTTATTTATGGTCCCCTCACACTTTTCTTTTTGTGTTTGTATTTTTTGAAAATATGCTCAATCTGTGGACTATTACTGTTAAATGCAAATATATCGTGCAATTTTTTACTTCCATCTAAAAAGGGAAAATAATAATAGAGAATAAATAAGAAAAAAGAAAATAAAAAATCTCTTCAAATTCATTTTTTATGAAATATTCATTGACGCCAGAGTCAGGATTATCGTATTTTTTGTATTTGTGCGATATTTACCAATACCGAAGTTGAAAATATTTGTAGAAATTATCCACTGATGCTAGAGTTAGGAACATAAAAGGAAGAATAAAAAAAGAAAAAAGGAGAACAAATTCTTAACAATTTTAGACAAAAACACCAATGCAGCCTGCCTTCGGTAGGACGCTTAAGGGGTGATACCATTTTCTCTTTTGCGTAACCAATTTCGTACCATAAAATTTTTGTTGACCAGTTAGGATTCTAGTGACCATAATACTAAATGTCAACTCTTTGAATAAGATCTTTTTCCCTAAAAGAACAAGATACCAGATATCTATTCTCCTAAAAGAATAAGATACCAGATATCTATTTTTTTTCCAATGAAGATTATATTTTTAATTGGTCGTTGCGATGTCTAGGTGTGATAGATGGTTCAAAATCAATGAATGTCAGCATATAATGCTTGCAGCTGTTACACTATTATTAGATTGTTGTAACTAATAAATTTATTTTTATATTTTTTATGTATAAAGAGATTGTAAAATCAATTTTGATAAATTAGAAAACTCTGTTTCTTCAAACAGTTTCTTGCAACACATGAATGATCATCAAGGAATACTAATATTCCTTTTATTATATTTGTGGTTTCCTTAAATGATCTATATATTTTTTCTTGATTAATCATATGTTATTTTGATGAGTATTTAATTCAAGATTTGTGATTTCACGTACCAAATTACGTTGTGTGTAAGTAGGAAACAAGCATATGATGGCGGATGCAAAGCTTTGTAAAAAAAGTTAATTCCCCACGAATGAGTGCATAGCTATGAATTGTGATTCCGATTGCAAGGAAATTCATGGAAGCAAGGCTAAAAGGGTCTGCAATGGTTTTCTTTTCTGCAATTGTTTTCTGCCTTGCTAGTTTCTGCCATATATAGCCATCTATGCCCACGTTGCGTGGCAGTCTTGGCACATCAAGATGTATTGTCAAAACAAATAAAAAGGTGTGACCGAAAAATAATAAATAAAGATTGTCTTCTTTTTCATTATTAACCATGTGTTAAAACATGTGATTTGATCAAGAAACAATGAAATTATTGAGAAAATAAATCTGTTAAAAAATCATCTCAACTTAAAAGCTTAAGCTATTATATGAGCTCTCAAGATATGATTTATATTATTTTCTAACACACCCCCTCAAGTGAAAGTTCTTTGGGCTTAAAATTTGTACAGACCCACATTACCTTGTGCTTAATTTTTATCAAATAAATAGAGATGGTAAGATTCGAACTCGTGACCGCTTGGATATCAAAGCTCTAATACCATGTTAAAGAACCATTTCAACGTGAAAGTATTTCAGATTTTGGGTTGAGATGGTTTTTTGACATAGTGTCAAGAAACTATTTTACCTAAAAATTTATACTGTTAGGTGAGATCCCAAGATATGATTTATATTATTTTTTAACAAAATCAAGATTATATATTTTAAATTCAAATCCAATTAACATAATCATTAATTATATAAAAAAAATAAAGTATCATATCATAAGATTTTTATCATGGTATCATAACCAACAATGCGTATATACTATACTGAAGTTCTTTAACAATTTTTGCTTGACTATTGCCCATAATTTTCCATCGCCCATTAGTTTCATAGTTTTCCATCATCATACTTACATCCGTACAAAACAAAAATCATATTAACATCAACCTATTTTTAATGAAAAGTTTTAGACTATATCCCATAATTTGTTTAGGTGTCCTTACAATCACAATTTGGAGATATTTTTTCACTACGCCATTCATGGCATTTCTCTTGTATATTTCCTAAGTTGCAAACTCAAATAAGGTTTGACTTTTATTTTTTATAGCACACGGTAGAGTTAAATATGGTCTCGTAGAATTATTTATTTTCTTTCATTGTTATTGGCTTGAATAACTTGGTTTATCGTGTTCTTTTTTTTGCAAATTAAAATAATAAGATTTCAATATTATCTATTTCAGACTCACGAAGAGTTTTCTTCAAAATATCCATAAGTTTGAAAGGGCATGTTGAGAAAATAAATCAAAACAATATAATTATCAATTATGGTGGAAATCAAGAGTCATATCAAAAGGTTTTAAATGATTAAAGATTCTAATTTATTTCCATTATTGTTTGATTGTGTTTCTATATACCTTTTAATTTTTTAATTGTAATCATATATCATATCAATAAATAAATATATTCTCATCATGGAACTAGACCTAACAATCTACATGTAATTGCGTATTATTGCCCGTTCGCCATAACTTTAAGAGAATTGGAATGAGAGGTTTTTGAGGAAGAACTTTGGGCTCGTTTCGGACCAGTTGATTATGAAGATTTTGATGAAATTTTATCAAGGGTTTCACAGGTTGGCAACCTGATGATAGGATGGATTAAATTGAATTAAAGATATAGAACTAAATGAAATAACTAGGTGACATAGAGTCAATATGTAAATAATTACATCAAGGCAATAATCTAGAGAGAATAAGTGAAGAAATTTAGGGATTTAAAGTGGTTAACAATGGTTAAAGGACTAATTAATTAGGTTTTAAAATTACAATGAGTATTAAATTTGTTTTAAAAAACTAGAATGGCTGATCATTGATAATTTACTCTCAATGTGTCTGTATTATCCAAGGCAATAATCTAGAGAGAATAAGTTAAGAAATTTAGGGATTTAAAGTGGTTAACAATGGTTAAAGGACTAATTAATTAGGTTTTAAAATTACAATGAGTATTTAATTTGTTTTAAAAAACTAGAATGGCTGATCATTGATACTTTACTCTCAATGTGTCTGTATT